AACCTATGTACAAACACAACTAAGTCACGAGACTGGCAAAGTAGCAGCACAAAATGTAAGCAAAAGCACGTTTAATAGATCCAATTTAGAAACGTCTTTTTCTTTAAATTAGGTTCAAAATACTGGGAGACAAACACTGCAACAAAAATCTTAACAACACACTTACAAACCATCGTAACATGTAGTGATCCTGCTGGACACTGTGTCCACACACTGTCAACTGAAGGCGACTCCCTGCTGCTGCACCATGTGAGCAGACACGTGTCCATTTGTGCCTGTTGTCATCAAGTATTAAGGTTCTTAGAGTATGGACACAAGAACTGTTAGGTTCCAAGACTTTTCATGTTGTCACATTAGCTTGTCTTGATGAAGCTACGAGAAAACAGGAGGATGTGTGTTGTGTTTGAAACTGCTCCTTGAAATGAAATACATCCAAAAAATGCAGCTAGCCATAAAAAAGAGGGAAGAATTCAGACGTTTCACAGAGGCTTAACTTGGAATATGGCTTTGCCAGAGGAAGAAAGACAAATGTTTTAAATTAAAATTTCAGGGTTAAAAAAAAAAAAGCTAATGGAAGGAGGGCAAGGAGAAGGAAGTGCTTAAACAAAAAAAAAAATCTGCATAGATGATGAACTGAATTTAAACATGGTTTCAATTCATTCCCACCTAAAACTAAGCCCAGTTAACTGAGGTAGACTCTGGAAATAACACGTGCAAAGATTCAGGTTTTCCAAAGGGCAATATTTAGTCATTTCAGAGATTGTAAAACAAAAGTGCATTATATAGTTTTGAACATAAAATCAAATGGAAGCCCTTTTATAGGAGGAAATTCTCTATATTAATTCCCTATTTATTGTGCCAAATTTCCAAATGTTCAAAAATCTATACACTCCTGGTGACAAAGCAGTATCCAGGTTATTTATATACACATAAAAAATATGGTCAATCAAGACATGAGAAAGGTAAAATAAGAAGAATAAATTTTATCATTACAGTCTTATGCCACATAACGACGTTCTGGTCAATGATGGACCACATATACGATGGTGGTCCCATAAGATTAGTACCACAAAGCCTAGGTGTATAGTAGACTATACCATCTAGGTTTGTGTAAGTACACTCTATGACGTTCGCACAAGGACAAACTTGTCTAACAATGCATTTCTCAGAACTTAAACCCTGTCTTAAGTGATGCATGACTGTTCCTTAATATTTTTCCTGTTTTTATTAACAAGCCACCAAGAAATTTAGAAATATCCCTAAAGCCAAAGGTTGTCCAGAGCCAAAAAATCCAATAAAAATTCAAAGAATTACTGGGGGCCAGCATGATGGCATAGTGGCTGGATTCGTGTGCTCCGCTTCAGCAGCCCAGGGTTTGCGGGTTCGGATCCCGGGCTCGGACCCGTGCACCGCTTATCGAGCCATGCTGTGGCAGGCATCCCACATATAAGATAGAGGAAGATGGGCACATGTTAGCTCAGGGCCAATCTTCCTCAGCAAAAAGGGGGAGGACTGGCAACAGATGTTAGCTCAGGGCTAATCTTCCTCCCCCCAAAAAAAAAAAAAAAACAAATTCAAAGAATTATTGTTAATTTGTGAATGTTTAAAAACACAGCTATTATCTTAGGGATTTTATTTTTAAAATACTCATATAGTTTCCACATTAATAAACAATATTAAAAGCAAATGTCCTTAAAATATTAAATAAATAAATATGAAAAGCCTAACTTAAAAGTATAAATAAGTAAACATAGTATTATAACAGAGTTTTTAGTTTTTCCCACAAAATAATTAGTGGAGATGAGAATAAAACATTTGGGGTTTAAATATTTTTATCCCCTTAACATGTCCTCCAACTATAATTCCTATTCTTCTCTATTGTGACAGATTCTTAGATTCACATAAATATTCTGTACATCACAAATTAAGTGGTATGTAAAAAATATTATACAATCAAAACAGTTAAGGAACAATAGATACAAAAAAAGGTTAAAAGAGTAATTACTTTTGTTTTCTGATACAAGTTAAGGTGGCCCTTTCTTGGAAAAGGCCAGCAAATATCCTTAACATTTTATGCCTGTCATACAGGATATATCCTAAGGTGAGTTATCATTAATAGGAAGCATGGGAATCTACTATTAAGAAAAAAAGACTCACTATCAAGACAATACTGAAGGAGCCAAAGCCCACATACCATGAGCCCTTCTCCTTATCTCAGGTTCGGGGATGCAGGGGGGAGGGTGAAACAATGCAGTCAACTGGTTACTGTTTTATGATTCTCAGCATGGATTCAACAGTGTATACAGAAACATCCAAGGAAGGAATTCAAACAAACTCAAGCCGTTCAAAACCTGAAGAGTATCAATAAATTCATGTTCAATAGAGTCAGGCTACAAAGTGAAAGAGTGACAATCTCAGTAGCTCAAAGTAAAAACAGCAATCTCAGGAGCTCAAAGGAAGCCCCTAGTTACGCAGCTAGACCACAACATGTTTCCTCTTCCAAGCTGTCTGGGCATTTTTAGAGGCAGAGGTCCGAGCCCAAAGTGTGTTTTGGTCATTGCGGAATACCTACGCTGCTACTGACTAGAAGATAAAGCCTGTGATGCCATCGTCTATTTTCTACTTGGACTACTAGAAGGTTTCAGCCTACGTTAAAGAGCCATATGTCTGGAACATTTCATCAATATTAATTTCCTTTAAAAAATAAAGGAATTATGAGAGCAAAACATTTATAATAAACATGTAATATGTTTACATGTTTACCATAATTACATGTGTACATGTTTACAATAAAGATGTAGCTGAGAAATGACAGAAATGCTTCATGAAAATAGTCAGATCTATAACAGTTATATTGTTCAAACAAATAGGTACGAGTTCTAATTTTAATCACTTTTTTTTTTTAAAGATTTTATTTATTTATTTTCCCCCCAAAGCCCCAGTAGATAATTATATGTCATAGCTGCACATCCTTCTAGTTGCTGTATGTGGGACGCGGCCTCAGCATGGCCAGAGAAGCAGTGCGTCGGTGCGCGCCCAGGATCCGAACCCGGGCCGCCAGCAGCGGAGCGTGCGCACTTAACCGCTAAGCCACGGGGCCGGCCCATCCAGTTCTAATTTTAAAACAGATTTAAAGACAGAAAAAGAGAGAAACTTTTACGTACCATCTTCCCAAAGCACACACAGATACTGTGCCTCTCCATTTATGATCTGAACTCGCTGCATCAGTTGGAGCCAGAAGCTACACAGTGTAATTACACAGAGTTCCCAGTCACAACCGCACTGCCTGATCCAACTCTGTAAGCCACAGAGCTCCCACCCGAGGGTGGTGTACACACTAAGCAATCAACGCAAGCCTGCTGAATGAAGGAACTATCTGATCAAATATCTGCAAGACAGAATTGTACAAAACTTAGTCCTAACACCATTGTGCTGCAGAACCCAAAATACTCATGTTTTCAGATGAATTAAAGGAACCAAAATCTTTCTAATTTGATAATGCAACAAAGAAAAAGTAAAACAAAGCAAAACACAACAATTCTCTCATTCTGGGTAAGGCAACACACTATCTTGCAATAAAGACAATGTACATACAATGTACAGTAAAGGTTGGATAGAACACCAGAGGGACCTCCTCAAGATCCTTTAAGGAGTTTAAGATATACAAGGCATTCACCATCCACTGACAGAGCCAAATGAGAAAAAAGGGAAATAAAACAGCACACTTAACGTAGTAAAGATAAGCTTCCAGGAAGCTTGAGTCTCCAAATACTGCTTAACTGATAATTTTTAAAAATCATAATTACCATGTTATGATCCATGAAGAATTCAAGAAAAAAAATAAAACGCATGCCAAGACAAATAACGCAAAACCTAGAAAAATGGTCTAACTAATCAACTAAAATATACAAACAAGTTTTAGGAATCAAAACACTAACGCTTTAATGATTGCCCCTGGGACTTCAGGAAAAAAATAGATTACTGGATGGCAATGGTTTGCAAGACTATATTAGTGGGATTACTTATTTCTTTACTTAAAAAAGTTCATTAATAAAAGGAAACTTCAATTTCTAAGATGAATTAATTCAATTGAAATAAAATCATGATGCCTTCTGATTTTAACTCTTATAATCTATGCCTCAGAGGAAAGGAGGGTAATTTACAGCATTAGATAAACACTGGAGTTTAAAGGCAGACTTAAGTTATCTGAAAATTACACAGTTTTTAGTGAAAAAAAACTCTCTTAAGCAAGATACTAGGACTTTTTCTTTAAGTATCTAGAAAGTTATATTATTTTTAGTTTTAAACCAGTAGGTGCTGTCCAAAATTGAGAATTCAGGATACCATCAATACAAATTTTAAAAAGCTTGACCATTAAAGCACAGGTTGCCCAATCAAAATAGGATAAATGTAATTTTAAAAAACTAACACCAGGATACAGTCATGTGTCACTTAACAACAGGGATACATTCTGAGAAATGTGTCGTTAGGCAATTTCGTAGTGCAAACATCATAGAGTCTGCTTACACAAACCTAGACGTATATAGTCTACTACACACCTAGGCTATATGGTACTAATCTTAGGGACCACCATTGGCCTGCAGTGACTGAAACGCTGTTATGCAGCGCATGACTGTACTCTACTTGTGATTAGATATACGCCATCTACTTTTTCTGGCCTCTTTCTATTGTGTAATTCTTGCTGAACTGAGTGAGTATGTCAGATTTCTATCCTAATCTCACTGTGTGTACAAGTTCTCAACCTAGGCAAGGAATAATTTTAATCTTTTCAAATAAACATCGTTCATTATGTACGATGTTATTTTGTTAAACAAGCTGTCTGGAAAACTATAAAGATTTTGTTTTGTTTCCTTTGCATCAGCCACAAGAGACTGGACTTGTTTAGAATACCAAAGTATTTACTCAGAATACGAAAGTCAAATTCAGCAAAAATCAAACAATGTTGGAGCTGAGACAAAAAAAGGGTTTATCTGTTTGAACACAGTGAAAGAAAAGTGAAAACAAACTTAGAAGTCTAGAATGAGGAAGTGCATCTTCTGCAATCACAATATGCTTCCCACCCTTCCAATATGAAATATAAAAAGTGCCGGCAAAAAATACTAAAGACCAGAGAAACGACCTGGCAAAATGATTCAAAAACCACAAAGCATGAGGATATTCCCCCATAAAGCTTAATAAAAGATTAAACAGCTAGTAGAAGAAATGGTGGGGGAAGGGAGGGTAAAAATCTTAACTATATGATAGACTCTAACAGTAATAGTTGAATTCTACAGGTGTAATTAGCAAATTCATTATTTAATCCCAAACTATCATTCTTAACAACAAATAATGAAGTTGACACAAACCCAGTTTTGATGTTAAAAGTCAATGTATAGAGGTCCCTCATGTTCAGAGCAAAGAACAGAAAAAAGCAAAAAACAACAAATGCAAGTGAGAAATAGAGGCCCTTCTAAATCTTCTGTAAACAAGTTTCTACAATAGCACATTGATCACTTTCTTCAGCCTCTGACACACTGGTTTGGGTGTGCAATGCTGATGCATGAGTATGTGGAATACCAGCACAAAGCCAGGTGATGGAAATTATCAGGCTCTCTATGCAAGCTTTTCTTATTTCTCAACTACATTTATATTCTTTGGGGTTTTAGGGTTTTTTTCCTTTAAGTGAAAATCTCTCCAATGATAAGTTCCAAACCTGTTTTTTAAAAAAAATTGCAGGAACGTCTTCACATTTTATAAACAAAAATACCAGAAATGAAAGAGCTGACAGAAATTCAAGCAGATCCAAATTCAACCATCCATTTTTCATACTTCTCCAAGTCTGCAGCAGAGACAGACTTAGCAATTTTCTTAAGAGCCAATTCCAAGTCTCCTTTGGTAACTGGCATCTGAAGTTCCTCTTTAGAAAGTGCACGGATCTCTTCTGGACTTAAGCCATTGATTCGCCGTCTCATTGCCATTAAAGAGGCATCCCTAAAAATATACCAAAATCAGTGAATACTTACTGTTGCAAATATTTTAAACACTTCCAATTGTAACAAAGTTAAGAGAAAACATTCAAAAGATCATTTTATATGTTTTTACAATGCTGCTCAGAATTTTCCACTTCAGAGACATCCTGAAGGTTCAGGAAAGGTTAAAACAGGATGCAAAGGACTTAAACAAAAAATGTACTGTTAATGAATCCTAAAAGTCTAGGTTGGGCTCAGATAGTACTGAATTTTCAGTATACTCAGATAAACTGAACATTTTTCCCCCACTATTGCTCTCAAAGACAGCCAAGAAGTTTAGGAAACTGAGGTAGAATTGTGAAATACTGAATTTCACACTTGAAAATGAATATATGGCTAATGTTAAGATAATTCAAATCTTATACTGGTTTGTCTACAACCTAATTAGAGGAGGTAAAGCCAGGAACCTCTCTCTCTGGAACACGAATATATCTACATATAGGATGTGGAATTCCCAACATGGAGTATTTGGGGGCAACTAAAGAGATAAAATCTGGCTTCTCCAAACCCCATTTTCAGCTCCATTCTGATCACTTGCAAATAATCAGGAAGATTTGGAAAAAGTGGACAATCACCACTCACAAAAAAGCTATTAGGAAGCCAAGCCAACCAAAACTTCAAATTTTTTTACATTTTACTATAGTGATAGGAGAAACTTCTGCGAACTTATTATGTGCCATTAAACTTAGATGCACATAGAAAAAATACTAGAAAAAGTGAAAAAAAAGATGTTATGATTTTAAAGAAAGACTACTGATGTCAATTTAAGTATACTTAGGAAAGTAAGAACTCAAAGAAAAAAATCCTCTTCACTGAGTGATGTGAAATGTCTAAAAATTATGATGGCACTAAATGGAAAGGAAAATTTTAATATGTATCTTTCACAGCTCAAACTGACCAAGTTTGTTCATCTGCATGTGGTAAAATAATGCCAACCAAAACTAAATGATATTATTTTATGTTGATGCATTTAGGCTTCAATTCAGGGCTAAATCAACCTTCAGTTGTAAAGGTCATTATTACCACGTTAGGCACAACCATTTCTTAAAAATCAAAGGATCAGAAAGGTGACTGTATTCTTACATAATTATTCATATAACAATGACCAATGAAGTTATGCAAAAAAAAAAAAAAAACAAGACAAATGGGAAATCATTTCAAGGAAATGGGTAGCTGCTGTCACGTCAAGGGCTAATAACTACACTGACTTGAAGACCAGTCCTCCTGCCAAATCTACAACTAACGTCTAAGGTCACAGATCATTAAAAAAAATACCTGCAAACATTAGTTATATCAGCACCAGAATAGCCCTCAATCTTCTCTGCTATATCTTCCAGTTGGATATCAGGATCCAATTCAACCTCACGAAGATTGATCTTCAGAAGCTCAGTTCTTCCTTTTGCTATTAGAAGATTTTTTGTTATTGTTAGATGTTTTACTTTACAAATCATTTTGATGAGAAATCACATATTAACATTCAGGAAAAGAAAGAGAGACTAATGCAAAGAAGAGTCAATAACTGTGAGTCCACTGGTATTATCAATTCATTGCATGACTCACGGAATCATTTAACTTCCTAAGTACCCTGGATGCAATAGCTAAAAACTGAAACAAAACTCAGAGTTTTCCTTATAGATTGTGAAGATACTTGCTATGAGAACAAAGGGTCTGAGATCTTTTATGAAAAATAAAAACATTAGTATATAAGCACCAGAAATGCTTTTAGTAAAAAAATCTTTAGCCTAATTTTATAAAAGTAGATTGCATGGAATGTAACACCTATGAATTATTTTGCTCACCTTTTAGTATGATACAGGAAAACATTTCCATAACTCAGTTGTTTAAAAAAAATTCAGTTTTGGGGCCGGCCCAGTGGCACAAGCGGTTAAGTGCATGCGCTCCGCTGCAGCGGCCTGGGGTTCCCCAGTTCAGATCCCGGGCGCGCACCGATGCACCGCTTGGCAAGCCATGCTGTGGCGGCATTCTATATAAAGTGGAGGAAGATGGGCACAGACGTTAGCCCAGGGCCAGTCTTCCTCACCAAAAAAAGAAGAGGATTGGCAGATGTTAGCACAGGGCTGATCGTCCTCACAAAAAAAAAAAAAAAAATTCAGTTTTCTTCTTCTAGAAATTAACAATTGGCACAGAACACTTTTTAATGTATTTTTCACTTGGAGAGCCAGTCTACAGATATTTGTTGTTCCAGTATGATTGAAATGTATATTGAGTAAGCACAAACAAACTACAGAATTTTTTAAATAAACAATCATACTTGCTGTTTCACTATCAGTTTTACTGGTAAATCTGCTTAATACAGCATACTAAGATAATGCGAAATTAGTATGGATCTGGTTCTCTACTATCTCCTGACACACAAATGAAACATAATTTTCCCCAACTTTTATTTTGAAAAATTTTAGAACTACAGGTGGAAAAAAAATCAATGAACACCCATTTACCTTTCATCTAAATTCACCAATTGTCAACATTTTGCCATTACCACTCTCTTCTCCTCTCCTTTCCTCCCCCCTCTTTTTTGAATTGAGAGCTAGCTGTGGGCATCACAACACTTCACCTTAAATTCTTCAGCATGTCTCCTAAGAACGAAGGTATCCATACAATTATCACACTTATCAGGAAATTTAACACTGGGACATTAGTATCATCTACTACACAATCCAGATTAAAATGTCCCCATTTGTCCCAGGTCTTTATAACTTTCTTAAAAACCATCACATGATACATTTAGTTATCAAATCTCTTTAGTCTTATTTAATCTAAAACAGTTCCCCAGTGTTTATTTTTTGTTTGTTTTGTCTTTCGTGACATTGACAATTCTCCCCCAAATGATCTTATAGAGTCAAGTCATTCCAATAAAGATCCCAACAGGTCCGCTGTGGAACCTAATAGGGAGATACTAAGATGTTTATGAAAATGGAAAGAACCAAGAACAACCAAGACACTCTGGAAGAACAACAGCAAGGTGGGAGGAACTGCTCTATCAGATTTCAGGACGTATTATAAAGCAGTAGGATTCAAATCAGTGTAATACTCTTGCAAAGACAGACAAATAGATCTCTGATACAGAATAGGGAGCCCAGAAGCAGATCAGAGCATATACTATGGACAGCTGATATAGGGGGGAAAGGAGTGTTTTTTCAATAAATGATGCCAGAACAACTGACCATCCACAGGGGAAAAAAAGAAATTGCATCCCATCTCATACCATACATAACAATCAGTGCCAGATATATGACTGATCTAAATGTAAGATGCAAAATTATGAGCATTTTAGAAGATAAAACAGGAAAATATCTTAATGACCTCAGAGTAAGTATTCTTAAAATATATATTCAAAAAATCAACTACAAAGGAAAAGATTGATAAACTGACCACATTAAAATCAGGAACTCCTATTCATCAAAAGAGACTGTAAATACAGTGAAAACACACAAGCTACAGAGTTTGAAAAGCTATCGACAACATATATAAGTAATGAAGGATGTATATCCAGAATATTTAAAGAACTCCTACAAATCAATAAGAAAAAGTCAGGACAATTAATAGAAAACTGGGCAAAAGACTTGAAAAGATATATCACAAAATCCAAATGGCCAATAAATAAAGGAAAAGATGTTCAAATTCTTTAATAATAAAGAAAATACAAATTAAACCACAGTGAGATAGTGCTGCAAACCAAGAGACTGGTATAAATTAAAAGTATGACAATACCAGGTGTTGGAAAAATGTGAAGCAATAGGAACGCTCATACACTGCTGGTAAGAATGTAAATTGGAACAACCACTTTGGAAGACAATTGGATTTATTTACTGATGTTTCAGCTATGCAACATGACCTAGCAATTCACTCCTAGGATGGAATGTTCCATCCAGACCCAAAGAGACTTAGGCATTTGCACCATTACACACGTATAGGAATGGTCATAGCAGCATTGTTCATAATAGCCTAAAACTGGAAATAATCAAAATATCCATCAAATAATATGAAATATACTTGTGGTATAATCACATAATGTATGTTATGGGCTGAATTGTGTCCCACTCCCAAATTCTTATGTTGAAGTCCTAATATCTCAAAATGTGGCTGTATTTGGAGATAGGGCCTTTAAAGATGGTAATTAAGGTAAAATGAGGTCATATGGGTGGGCTCTAATCCAATATGACTGGTGTCTTTATAAGAAGGGGAGATTAGGACACAGCCACACAGGGGAAGACCACATAAAGACACTGGAAGACAACGGCCATCTACAAGCCAAGGAAAGAGGCCCCAGAATGAAACCAATCCTGCTGACACCTTGATCTTGGACTTCTAGCCTCCAGAACTGAGAGAAAATAAATTTCTGTTATGTAAGCCACCGAGTCTGTGGTACTTGGTTATGGCAGCCCCAGTAAACGAATACAATGGAATACCACACAGCAAAAAAAAAGGAATTGCATCTACATGTCACAACATGGGTGAATTTTAAAAATATACTGAGCAAAAGAAGCAAGATACAAATGAACAAAATTAGTGTGATTTCATTTATGTAAAATTTAAAAGGAGGTAAAACTATTTGGGGATACATTATTAAGTAACAAAATCATAAGGAAAAACAATAAATTATTTCCATAAAAGGAATAACAGTCATTACCACCAGGGGGCAGGAAGGGAGCTGTGCTAGGGAAGGAACATACCAGGGAGCTTCTGAGGTCTGATAACGCTCCATTTCTTGTCCTAGAAGGTGGTTATATGGTTGTTTGCTTTGCCAATCACCAGATACATTGAACATTTTAATACATGTTTCTGAATCTGAGTTATATTTCACATACACATACACACACACCCCGCCCTGAAGTAAGACAAAGCAAAGCAACACAAAGAGCAGCCACAGTGGAAAGAGAAGCAAGCAGGCATTATCTGGCATTGTCAGAAAAAAAGAAAAGGCATGACTAGAAAACCTTTACCCTCAGAATTCCTTAATCTGGGGAGCTCCCTATCCTTGACCATCCCCAGCCAATAGGCCCGCAGTTCACAGAGGTACACCACAGGTGGTACAGGGCCAAAGAAGTCCTTTCAGGTGGTCAGCAAAAGGGGTGTGGGAAGAAAGAGGGAAGGGGAGGAAGCTCCTAGGTCTGCTGCTACAGAAGGTGGTTGTGCTCCTGATGCCCCAGGAAGAACTCTGAATTTAACATAAGAGCATCGTTTCACAGTGCTCCACACGTAGCAGGTGAATGTTAGTGAAGGAATATCACTTTGTTCTTTTAGTCCCAATGTTAGAATACCACTGTATTTGTAAATCAAATGTTTTACTGTGGCCTGCCCTAAGAACTTAAACACCAAGCTTAACATAATGTATTCTCCCACAGAAAGGAAGTTCCAGACAGCCAACTTAAATGAACTTTGGAGCACAGACTTGTTCGTAAGCGAGGGCTTTGTGGTACTGAAGCTCAGTAGGAAGCATCCTCCTTTTCCCTAGTAACTATGATTTGGGGAAAGTTAACTTTTAATACTGGTTGTATCAGTGATTTCTTAGAATATTCTAAGTAGGATCTGTCAGCTCTATAAAACTAAATTAATGATATTTAATAACCTTGTGAAAGGATTTAACGAGGGGTTAATGTGTTAACAGTATAAAGATCAGTGAATGCCACATAACCAAGTTAATACACATTCTAAATTTAAATTAACATTGTTAGAAGGATCATACACTTCTTCTTGTAACACCAATTCTTCTCAAGTATACTAGGCAGTCCAGCACAGCGCATACAGCATGTGCTCTGGGGTCAGACTGTCAGGGCTCACATCCCTGTTCTGCCACACTGGATAGAATACCTAACCTCACAGTGCCTCAGTTTCCTCATAAGTAAAATAAAGATAAGAACAGCATCTACCTCACAAGACTGTTGTGAGGGTTAAATGAGTTAACACATGTAAAGCCTGGTCCACAGTCAGCAGTCAATAAATGTTCATTGTCCCATCACCACCACCATCATCAGTCAATCAACAAACAGGATTAAAGGGAGACAAAGAAAACCCAGATCCCTTCTACTAAGGATCATCTGGGAGACAGATAATACAGATGAAACACCCAGGGAAGTAAAGTCCACACAACAGAGATAGGCCAGAGCAAAGAAAACTTCATAGAATTGGCATGCTTTAATGTCAACTTTGAAAAATGAATAAAATTTAAATAGAAGGGAAGAGATAGAACAATCTGGGAAATGGGAGCCCCATAAATAATGACACGGAAGTAGGAAGAAGCATGTGTATATCAGAATGAAAAAAAAAGGAAGTGGAAAAGTACAACAGAGTACTAAGAAATGCAAATAGACACAAATAGGATAGATAAGGTGTGAATTTGCAGTAAAAAAAAAGACTCTGACCCTGATGGGATAGGAAATT